AAAAAAAAAAAAGAAGAAAACAATAAAAGACGTGAACCGATACCTTGTCTCTGAGTCCTACAGACCATACCATAGAACGACTACGACAACTCCCTGAGAAATGTTGCACTAGCTTCAGAAAGAAATCATACCAAAGAAAAACAGCAGTACTACTCACTAAAAGATGCATCCAAGAATGATCATCTTGCCAAGCCGTGGTTCAATGGGTAATTTTGCCAGAAGGTAACCAAGGGGAGTGAGATTTAAGTTTCCATCCAAAGCCTCCATGTCTAGACAAAACCATTTATATCGTTTATCAGAAATGGCTTGTCATACTTAGTAATTATTTCCCAGAAATCTGGCCTTTCGAGATTTAAACCTTGCTAGCTGCAACTTTCTTCAGTTAAGTTTATTACAATCACTACATCCGACCAAAAACAAGGAACAGGATTCCGTCCAGTCTACCAAGAATCAACTTCGCAACTGACAAATGAATAAAGGGGTAAGTTTCTAAAGAAACTGTGGTGCTACGTCGGTGGGAAAGTGTAGCAGGTAATTTAGTGTTAACAAATGAGTTGAAAACGTAAATTAGCCACCGTAAAGGGTAAAAAAGCTGACGTTTCGAGCGTTAGCCCTTCGTCAGAGCTCTGACCTTTACGGTGGCTAATTTACGTTTTCGACTCATTTGTTAACATTTAATTACCTTCGCAACTGACAGCCGAGCATGAAGGTGGAATCGTGCTTACTAGCAATCTTCGCCCAGTGTACCACCCATCCATCCTAAAAACCTGAGTCGTATTTTGACTTTGACAAAAGTTGTCTTAATCCTTTCTCTCGCACGACTTGGAAGCTAATTTGCTTCCTTTCATAAGAAGTTTTAGCAATTTCCCTAGTGAATAACTTTGGCTGGTCTAAAACTGCGACGTCAGGAGGTATTGAAACGTTTCATAAGCATAAGTGCTGAAGCATCAAAGCTTAGTTTAAATAAAAAGCATTGAAGTTAAGTGCATCCTAAACCAGCGAAACTGTAACTGCGAGGACATTCGTTTTGTGTAGCGCACAAACAAAACATGGCACATACAATACAAGGTCACTTGAAAATACATTAAATTTTTTTGGACTGAAGTATTCTTGGTTTTTCCTTACTACGTAACAACGAACATGGCTCGAGTCACCGAGGGTAGAACTGTGGAGGAAATGGTCTGAACGTGAACGAACAAAGGTAAGATTAAAAGATTGAAAGAGAGTTCAAAGTCATCATGCGAGTTACCGAGAGTAAAGTTACAGTAAACATATTTCGGAATTTCACGAGGAGATCGATTTTGTTTCAAGTCAGCGAGGGTTCAAGTTATCACCAACAGTGTGCCCACTCTATCTATTCCGAGAGCAATTTACCTTTTAATAGGGCAATAGACTCTGCCACTGCATCAAGCGGGGGCGGCTCGATGGCCTTGTTCAAAAACTCTCTGATATCTCCGAGTTTTAGAAATTTGATGGTGAGAGCCAGCTCGTGAAGCGGTGTGCGCAAGATCTCTGGTGTGGCGTGTTCAGCGAGTCTGTCAAAATAAGCATAAAATTTCCAAGTTTGTGATTTGCAATCCGTGATCATCTCCACCATCCTAAGCCATCCCTGCCTCTTGTTGGTTTAGCATGGCCTCGTTTGTGTTTTTCTATCTTACCAAACAAATATTTTCAGTCATTTAACATCCTTCTAAATCCACTCCATCCAAAACCGACTATCCTCATTCCGTCTTGGTTAATAACTGCTTCTTTTGTGTTTCTCTATTCTACCAAATTGATATTTTGTATTCATTTTTAATCCGTGATAATCTTCTTTATCCTTTGCCATCCTTTCTCCTTTAGGTTACAATTATCTATGTTGCCTTTCTACTCAAAGTTCTCCGAAATTCAAAATGTTGACAGGTGTAATCATTAAATCCTGGGAACATAAAAATAGACAAGCCAATTTCCCCCTCAGCTAACGCCAGTAAAGGACCTAACATTAAAAAATTTTGGAAATTTTTATCAATATAATGGCAGATAGAGGGACTTCTCACAAATTTTTACCTTGAAGCTCTTGTTCTGCTGCAAAGATGGAAGGCAAATCCTGGTCTGACTCTGCCTGCTCGACCACGCCTCTGTTCCATGTTGGTTCTGGACGCCCATACAGTGGCGTAATTTGTCATGTTGTTGTGTGACGTGAATAATTTCACTTTGGCTCTGATGACAAAAGTAATCACCACGTAAGCTTTTCAACGTTTTTAAAGCCCTGCATTCTTTGGTCGTGCTAAAACATGTTAATGTACATAATTTTTTTTTTTTAAATTAAGCGAGTCTTAGTTCCCTGTACATGTTCGCGCTCGAAAAAATAAATTAATCTGCATTATCTAAAGACCATAGACCTTGGTCAAAACAGTGAACCGTTTAAAAGAGGTGCAAAAGGAAAAGCAGGCCTGTTTAGTAACTCACTTGACTGAATCAATGACAAAAACAACATCATCAATTGTAATACTTGTCTCAGCGATGTTTGTAGAAAGAATTATCTGCAACAGAGAAAAAAAAAAAACCCAACCTTCTTAACGACAAGGTCAACACAACTGCAAAACAATTAAGTGGGATGCCTGTGGCAGACCACATTAAACTTGGAAGAGTCAACATGAAATTTATTCTTTTCCACGTAAATCCACAGTGACTGTAGATAACGACCAACGCGTCCCACGTTGACGCCTTCCGGCGTCTTGTTGTTTCTTTTTTTAAAGTACTCAACGCATTCTGACAATACTCTACGGTGACCATGAACACTTGTACAAAACAGACCAATCTGAGTACATGAGACGAGCAATGAATCCCATTTAATTTCTCTGTCACTTCTTCATGCTTTGATTCTAAGCATTCATTAGCTACATTCAAGTTTGTTGGAATTCTCTCTCTTTTCTTATGTCAAGATTGGTTAAGTGACCACGGTGTAAGCAGCACTTACCTTTGTGACTCCTTCTGGAACGGGCTCAAATACTCTCCGCTGGTCTTCTCTGGGGATCTGGGAGTGAAGGGGAAGCAAGCGATACCTGCTACTCACACCTGAAAGGACAAAATTTGAAAAATTTGAAAAATCGAACCTATGAAGACAATCATTTGATAACAGTAGGTAACTTTTTGGTTCACCAAAATTTAGTCTATCAGGTTGATTGCCAACTCTTTGTTTCAATTGCCTTCTGAAGAGGCTGAACAGTTTCTGTAGAAAACAATAACTCATAAATCTGCACAGGATTTTGACTGTGATATAAACAAAGAAGTGTCTTGTGTCCATTTATTTATCAGTTATACATGTTTGAAAACTATAGCACACGGTTCATTTCCTGGATTTTATGTTAACATGGAATGTCTTTCCTTAAACTGAGTGAAAGTTTTGTTTTAGTACTGAAAAAAGTTAAAAAAGCCTGTAAACATTTTGACTTGATAAACAAATGATTGATCTTACAAAACGCAAACGGTGAAGAGTTTTTTCAGCAATCTTTGATTTTCCAACCAATGAATGTGATTTTTCTAATATTTTGGCGTAGGCTCAAATTAATACGATGAAGATCCCCTCTACTGACGCAACCGAGACTGTATCGTTTCCTCGGCGGCATGAGATCTGATAGGAGGTGATGCATTTTCTCAAATTGAAGCAACACTCGTCAGTATGCCGAATTTCACCTATGTTAAGGGCGTTTCTCACTTTCATTCTCACCATTCTCATTCTATATGGCCTTATGTTCCACAAGAAAAGATTTAAACAAGTAACAGGTCTCAGCCTCACCAAATTGTGGATGCATCTTCAGGTGCTTGTGAAGTTTAAAAATTAAGTTCCACCCTGGAAGGAATATGAGGACAGCTCCAGGAATATTCAGGCCGGATATGTAGTTAAGCAAAGCCTACAATGGTCAAATTTGACGTGTTATTGTCTTTATTCATATACAAATTCGACCAAAAGAAAGAAATGAAATGCAAGAGCAGTTTATAAGATGTTTAGTTCATTATATTTTCAATAATACAACTTATCGATGCTACTTGGTGCGGTCTGGGTAAATTCTACGGAATACGCTTTTCGACGGTTGGGTTGGAGAAGCTTCGATAGAAATCACGGATTACACTCCGTAACCTATTTATGCACTCACTACTGATCGTCACGAATAAGATATTTTGTTTAGTATACGACAATGGTAATGATAAAAACAACATCTTTACCTCCACAAGTTCAAAAGACATTTCTTTTTCACTCAGTTGTGCCAGCGCATTCTTGGTTTGGAAGGAATAGTCCTCACTGCATGTTAAGTTACAATTTTCCTATAATTATTGCAAAACAATAAATTATAACTAAATAATAGGAATATATTATTCGTTTGGCGCGATTTCCAGTAATGTCCAATCGCGCTTTACAATTTCCATTACATAAATTCGATAAAAAATATGAAACTTTGAAGGAAAATTACATTTGCAAGCCTTTTTCTTTGTATTGTTTGTTTGTTTTAGAGCATTTTATGACTTAGGTTGGCCAGATGCCAACACTAAAAATAGTTAAACTTGGATCCCTAGACATTGATGTGCTCATCATAGTTACCTCCTCATCATCATCCACATCGTCTCTCTTTTTCTTTTTATCCGGAAGTGGAGGGACAAAATTTAACATTTGGATCACATCTTCAAGGTAATATTCTGTGAAAAAACAATTTAAAGCTGAAATATTACTAGTTTTAAAGCTGACCTACAATAACAACAACAACTATAACAACAATTCAGACCTAAGGAATTAATACTAACAGCAACTCTATATCTTACCTTGAACTGGAAACGATCTTCCTTCTATTTCCACAATAGGACAGTTGCCAAAATACTCTGTAAACATCTGGGTGTCAATAGTGGCAGACATGAGGACAACTCTAAGGTTTGGGTATGCTTGAATCATGTCACGCAAAATCACCAACACAAAATCAGTCTGCAATTCAAAATGTCTTCCTTCAAAAGTTTACCTTTTGTTGAGCCATTTACTTGTTAAAACAAAAATTAATTACTACAGAAAAGTCTTATAATCTTGAAGCTCCTAAAAACCAGTGATACACCAGCACACAAGTCCTTTCCAAAGAATTCGGCATTCAGTAAATAGACATGGGGTAGAGAAGGATAACAGTAGTTCAACATGTTAAGAGGTCAATGTATAATCTATAATCACATATTGGTCAACAGAGCATGTAGTCCAAGCACATCACAGAAAATACTTGCATGAAGCTACTTCTGAAATCCATCGATCATAAACAACACCAGTTCAGACCATGTGGCAACTCCAGCCCAGAGCTTTGAGGGGAGTTGATTTTATCAAGGATATTAAGTTTTTCTGTTCTATACTCTTCTCAGTCATATCTCAGGGTTGTCAAAATAGGCTGAAAACAGCATATTTCACCCTTTACTCTGAAAAATGCCAGCGCAAGCTATTCTGAATGCTTGTGGCTCAATTTTCAGCATGGAAGCATGAGGTTATTTGTACCACTAATATATATAATTATATAATTAATGTATAATTAAATCTTTTTGACAACCCTGACATCTTGAAAGAAGTTAATGGCTGCTAAAAAGTAGCTCTACTACACTATCATGCCTTCCATTCTGACAGATTTTGTTGACAGTTTAGGGTGTTCCCATTTGACTGACACTCCTGAATGAAAAAAGACACAGTATAATTCTAGCATTTGTGAGGCCAAGACCAATCAAGTAAACTACAAACACACCAAAAAACTCACATTTATATCTCGCTCGTGTATCTCATCCACAACCACATGAGAAATTCCATGAAGACCATTTTCAAGCTTCCTGAGAAGAACACCTATAAGGTAACAGGCAATCAAAAAACAAATATATAAATAAATAAATAAATGAAAAATCTCAACATAAAGAGGAGAGGAGGGTACTTCAACAAGACTTATCACAGGTTGTAGGTATGGAAAAAGTTCCCAAAAATTTTGCTAGAGATTGTAGCTCTCTATCAACATGACAACATGGAATCTACTGGTATTTGTTTTATAGGAAAACATGCAAAAGTTTGTTAATGGTTGCATCATTTATACATCTCTAGATCGTAAGTAAGAACCAATCAAAATGTGTGTATCACTCAGCTTACCAAAAGACATATAACTGCTCAAAAGGGATTAGCTTGTCTTTGAATTCTACTGCAAAATTTTGACTTTTCTTTGCCTTGTGACAATTTATCAAAATCTTTCCTCAGGACTTACCGACTGTGCAGAACAGCATGGAGGCATGGCTTCTGGGAAGAATAGTATCAAACCTAACTGAATATCCTACACTGGTGCCCAGTATCTCAGCTCTTTCACTGGCCACTCTTTCAGCTACACTCACAGCACTGATACGTCGCGGCTGTCATAGAAAATCCACACAACAAAATTAACAGAGAACTTTCAGTGTGATCACTTAACTCTTACCAGTGAACCCCTTAACTCCTCCCAATTGATGAGGACAGAATTTCTCCCCACAATAACTATCTATTATTAAGCAGACAGTGGATGAGGATAAATAAAAATATCTATTAGGGGATCATTAGTTCATCTAACAACTATTTCTCCAAAATAACATCATAAGAATTATATGGCAAACTGTATGTAGAATTATTAAATAAATGAGATCTTGGGAATGAAAGAACAAAGTTTGATGTAATACTCAGGATAGCATAATTTCCAGTTAAGTGATGCATTGAGGCAAAGGTATGAACGATCATATGAAGAATGGACCTCTTGGGAAACAAGAAGAAACACAAACATAACTTTGATCTGAACATTCACCAACCTGAGTGACTACAATACAACACTCAGCACCGTACCCTGTCTCAATGTAGTCATCGAGAATGTACTGTGGAACCTGAAAAAAGATGATGTAATAGCAAAAAGATGGTGTAATATTACCACACATGGAAAGAAATAAGCACGTTGAAAAATATCAACAAAACATTGAACAAGATAAATCTTAAATATCCTTTTCTAAACCTGAGTAGTTTTTCCACAGCCTGTTGCACCCTTTATAACAACAACTCTGTTTGTCCTGAGTGCCTCAATCAATGCAGACTTGTACTGGAACACAGGAAGTTGACTTCGCTGCTCTAACATGTTTTTATACACATCAACATTTTGATGTTTCTCTCTGTATTCATTAAGGTAATCCTGACTTGTTGGAATAGGTTCCTAAAAGAAATTGTTTAACAGTTGTCAGAGGATAATTCAAAATGTATTTTTAATAACCCTTTCAATTAATATAAAGGTGAAAACTAAGTATATCCTCTTTACTCAACCCGCAGCTTCACTCAAGAATACATTTTTTGGGAACACTTGCTGTTTCTTTTATCTCCCTCAGTGTTGGTTTGTGAGATACAGAGGGCACATGTGCAAAAACAACAAAACTGAAAAGAGAAAAGGGCAGAAAGGACACCGCAACAAGAAGATGGTGTGAACAATAGTTTGAAGTAAGGAATTTGCTTTTATCTGGTTCGTAGTCAAACATCTGTAATCCATTGCATGGCCACTTAGAGACACTAGACTTGGACAGCTTTGAGTGTCACTCACTTGATAGTCTTCAGCTCCTTCTATAATCATTGGCTGGTTTATCCATGGATTCCAGTTCATATTTGGTTGAGTCCATTCCACTATTCCAGAACCTGGTTCTGGATTTGTCTCTTGAAATTTGACCATTCCAGGGGGAAGGACTAGCGATACAGCTTGGTTTGGGTCCTGGGGTTAATTAATTAAAAACAATAATTGCTTTAAGAAAAACATATTAAGTTTCTTTTACTACCATTTCTGCAAATTTCTGGTAAATTTTTTTAATTATAACCTACAGTTACTGACTGTTAACCTAAAATTGGTTAATATTTTAATCACTTGGATTAACAATGATGGATTCACATCCTTTAAAGTGCATGTGTCAGATCTTTTTTGACTCATTCAGGAAGTCCTAATGACGAAACTGAAAGAGGCAATGATTTTTGATTAACTTCCACCTGCTTTTATCCTTTGAAAATAAAAGTAAATAATAAGTGTATTTCACCTCTTAAATCACTTAAATCAAGGTTTGAAAAAATCATCCCATATTTGATTTAGCAAAGAAAAGTTAACTTCAAAACAAAAAAGGGGAATTTTATTGTCAATCAGTAATCTTCCTGTTTCCTTGTTAGTGACAGATCATACCTCACCTTTGTTACTTTTCTATTCCTTTTTACTTTAGGAAACATTCCCTCACCGGCTGTCTGTCCTCCAGATGCTTATTAACATTTGTACTTTATTTTGATCATGAAAATGTTACTAGATCACTCAGTCTAAAAACCACCAACATTTACCTTTGCACTGGAGTATGTCATTGAACTTAAAACAAATGAAACTGGTTTTCAACCTATTAAAACTTCCTTTGTGTTTCAAATGTCAAAAAATGCACCTTGCTATTACCTCAACCATCCAAAATACTCCACTCCTCTTGTGGGATTACTCTCCTCAATCATAAGCTATAATAAAGAGATGAGACTACACCCTTGAAGCAGACACACTTTGTAAAACACCCCTGTCAAGGACAAGAACAGCATCAGATGCAGATGGTGTCAGATTTAACAACACTTGCATCATATGCATCAAAAGGCCATCAATATTTAAACAATCACAGAGCCTTTTGGTACATGCCATGCAATGCCAAGCTACTTTTGGTTATAACAGGGAACCTTGATAGATGACAGTTCAGTGTGTATGCATGTAATTTGCAATTAAATCTGGCAGTATTTTTTCTTGCACCTGCAGCAAGTAAGAATACTTGTATTAAACATACACAAGATACAAAAAGAACTGTCAATTGAGAGTTTTCAATCAAGGTTCTACATTAAAAGACCTTTACAATTTCAGGCTGGTCAAGCACAAGCCACAAGATTAGAATTTAGAACAATTTTTTTTTTAAATGTCTGTTGTGGTTCAGTCTTCAATAAGTTAAAATTTTGACAAACTACTTTATTTTTTATTCTTTTTCTTTTGTCTTGTATTCATCATCTTGATCTAAAACAAAGAAATAAAAACATCTAGCAAGTTTGAAAACTTTTCTGCCAATATGAAATTTAAACTACAACATGATTCAAATACTGGTCATGTGGCCTGTGGTTGAGCAATTCTCAAGAGAACCTTGCTTTATTTACATGGCCATCAACTGTAAAGAACCAACAGCGTGCTGTAAGATGAATTCAACTGGATCTGATACCGTTCTTAAAGAGGCAGTACTGAACTCAGGGCAGAGTCAAAGACTACCATCACTTGGCAGTCTCTTCCTTAACCCAAAGTTGTACTATCACAAAAGTTGTAAAAACTGCTTGTCACTTCAGGGATGCAGTCTTTCCTCTGTTAAAGCTCATGAAAGAGGAGAACGGCCCAACAATTGTGACTCTAGTTCACTAACATTTTTTTTAAACTTTTGACTTTGCAAAGTGGAGTGGACTCTCTTGAAGGAAAGATACAGAGTATAAACTCCATATACACACTGACAAAACAAGGCAAAGAATCTTGATCAAACAAGCAGACATTGTATAATGAAAAAAGTTAACCAAGATTTCAGTTACTCAATATGAAGGGAGCATTTCAATTTAGTTTCATTACACCAAATCCAAAGACCTCACACCAACCAACAAAAAAAACATGTATGAGCACACTGTGCAGCAGAGAAAAGAAACCAGAAAGAATTTTTGAACAGAGCTTTTTCCCCTTTTTTTTAAGCTGAACCCCTCCAATATTCAGGGTACTATTTATTATAAGTGATTGCTGAAAGAAAAACTTGATGCTTCTTATATAGTTTCCATCCTATGTTCTTCCTGATGACTCCCATAACAAAAAGCAGTCTTGAAAAATACAACATGAATGGGCTATCACAAATCTATCATTTGTTTTTTTCCACTGTTAAAAATAACATGCCTGGATATTAGTTAGAGTTCTAAAATTAACCTGAGGAACTGGTTGAATTTCAAGTCGTTGAAGCAGATCTGACACTTGCTGTTCCATCTCAGGACTGATAGCAACATCATGAGGTTCAATCTAATTTGTTGAAATGAATAACAAAAGTTAAGAAAGGTAATTTTTATTTCACAAGAACTTGCAATACATTTCATTACCATGTTAAGAAAAATGATAGAAAAAATTACATCAATGAGAAAATAAAAGGGGTTCTGACAACACAAAATAACCAAGGAAATTAATAAAAAAAAGGAGGGGTGGTAGCTCCAGTGCCTTAAATTATTGTTAACAGTGTTTAGATACTATTTTATTATTAATAATATTAAAAGAAAAAATTACTCAGTTCTGATTGGTTAAGATAAATGCAGTTTTCAGGTAATTCAATACAGAAGAGAGTTAATTCAGTGCAAAGAAAGTAACAAACCAGACATTCTGATTGGTCAATAATCAAAAAAACTCACAGATAGCCAATCAAATGAGAGCCTTAGATGTTGCAATATTTGGCTACAATGAAAATTCGCAAGCAAAATAATAGCTGGTGTTTTAATTAGGTTTTCTTTTGCCACTGCAACAACAATACAGCAGCTGAAAAACAGCTTTAACAATGAAAACACTGTAAAAAGCACTGCTTTTTGGGTGTCAGTTCACGCCGAAATTGAAAATAAACATGGTCAAACCTCACAAATGACGATTCCATTCCATTGAAAGTGATTTGAACACAGACTGAACAATTCCTTGAACTGTTTAGCCTGACTTTGATTTTTTTTGCGCCTTAAAGACGTGAAAACATCATTGTATATTGCTGTTTTGATCATACGCGGTTGTTTTGACTGAATGCACCGGTTTGAATAAATCATTTTTGCACTTGATGTGTGCACTTTGCTTCTACATAATCATTATAAGCTATCTCATATTTTTTCATGTATATTATTAATATGTAATCACACGATTTTTCTCATGCAATTTGGAATAAATAAGCACTTATAAATTTTTTCAAAGACCACAAATTTCACTCGCCCTACACACTTGTGCAATTTTGTTAGTCTTTGAAAATGCTTATTTATTCCAAATTGTACTCAAAATCCGGTGATTATCTTTTTTAAACTAAACTATTTTTGGTAAGCTATAAGTTATGAAATAATAGAATAAGTGTTAGGAGTGTAGAGGAACATATGTATGATAGATTTAAACATTCTGACAGTAAAACCTCCTCACAAGTGCCAGGGGGCCTGGATAGCAGCAGAAAGAAGACAGGATAGGTGGGGGGACCCTATGTCAGTTAAGATAATGCAATATTGAGGAGAGGGAGTATGAGTTTCCAAGAAAGGTAAGGTTTGTACTCTAGCCAACTAACCCACCCAGCTAGAGCTTATCTGGTTTCCATAGCATAAAGCCAGCTAGAATATTATTGCTTTATCTGGATGGGATGCCAGTTCATTGCAAGGTTACACCCCAGCATTTCATCAGGCTTCCTTGACAATTTGCCGGTACCCATTCATACTTCTGGATGGAGAGAGGTACTGTGACAATAAAGTGTTTGCCCAAGAACACAACACAAAGACATGGCAAGGTCTCTGATTCAAATTTCTTAACCCTTTAACTCATTACAATACCCAGCAAACAGGTAATAAGAATACTCAACTTTATCAGGTAGAAGTTGTTATCTTGATTTAACAACAAATTCTCAGAACTAATTTACAGAAATGTGTGGAGGGGAGAATTCACAAACAAATCTTGGGAGTTAAAGGCTAAAACCCCTGTCCAGTACACTAACCATTAAACATGTAGGCCACCATATCTTTCACCATAGTTAAGAAAACGTTGAATTTCTGTTTTATATCAATGCTTTCCACTCAGGTTACAGCAATCAGAATGAGCCAGTGTCATCTCAAAAGATGTTTGCTTACTTTTTAAAATATTGATTCTCCCTTCACCAACACTAACACCAAACTCAGCCACAAAGCACTCACCTCATCTGTTTTTGTTTTCTTTGGTTGAACTTGACCTGGTTCAGCAGCCTCCAACACTCCCATGTGAAACAATTGTCGAACAAGACTTAAAGAAGTGTTCTGTGCAGCTTGTTTCTTAGTGGAAGCATGTTCTTGAGCAGAAATAGCTGCAAGTAAATTCAATTCACTAATCAGTCTATGTAGTACATATATACAATTAATCAGTTCATCTATTCATCCATCCACTGATCAGTCAATTAGTAGGAAGATGAAAATTAAATTATAGTTTTTCTTTCCTCCTTGTCATTAGTCAAGTTACTCATTCTACATTCTGCCAAGGTTTGACTTCTATTGGGAACACTCAGAGTTCTTTTTCTCCCAATATGCCCCTGTCATTCACTGAAGAACATCTTCTTTCCCTTAAAAATCAACCCCCTTGAAATCTGCCATCTTCTCTTACATCACCATTGGGCAGATTAGTGTTACATATCTACATTCCTATCCTAGCAGCATGCAAGAAGTTTGTCATGATGGACGTAGTTTATAGGCCTAGCCTGTCTCAAGTCTCCTATATTACAGCTCAGTGGTAGAGCATTCAAAGTACTAATTGGAGGGTCTTAGGTTTGACTCTATATATTTTATTATTATTGCCACTCACTAAATAACATCATCTTTCATTCTGCATTTTTTACAACATCATTGCAGCCGAGGCAAAAAGCCATATTGTTCAAATTAAAGTGGTTAATGTACATTAATAATAAAAACCATTGAAATCTTTTCTATTTCTGGCACTTACTTCTTCGGTGAGACTTCACAAAAATAGATAATTCAGCAACAAAATGTCTAGTGAGAAAGAGCAAATCAGTATGCTTGCATAGTATTTAATCTATTTAATACCTTCAGGAAAAAAACTAAATACCAATTATATTAATCATGATAGCACATTTCCTCAATAAGCACTCTCCACCAAATAAGTGCCCACCCCACAACAAAATGTCAAACAAGTGCTCCCCCTCCTTGTTCACTCTCTTATATAGTAAGGATGCAAGGAAAACCTGTTTCTATGACCACTTAATTTAAACTTTTAAGCTTCAACTACAGTAGAATCAGTGTAAGAGAAAAGTCTTTTTTCCTCTCCAGTCATTTCTATCTCTGTGTGCTTGCAGGGTTTCCTTTTGTGTGTTACCAGTATTTGTTCTTTTCATTTTTGTCCTTTAGTTGTGCTAACTTAATCCATGCCCCCCCCCCATCCCTGGGTCCCCCTCATCAATTAAGCTCCCCCTTTATGATAAGCACCCTCCTTCCAATAAGCACCCCCTTGATTTAGCACCCTCCCTCCTATGAGCACCCCCATTCTTATAAGCACCCTCCTTCCAAAAAGCACCCTACTTCCAAAAAGCACCCTCTTTCCAATAAGCACCTCTCCTTTCTACCAAAATTTCAAATAAGCACCATGGTGCTTATTCAAGGAAATAGGGTATTATACAACAGTGTAAAAAAATTACAACATTTTGATCAATTTTAAAATGTGAAATATTTTGTTCTCTAATAAGACCTAACTTTTAAAAGTATGTTCAAAAACTAACATTTCATTTGTGCAATTCACACATCCAAAAACATACAAGGCATTTTCAAAACATTCCCTTAGGAGCAAAACCTAGCCCTTTGAGAAAACTAGTCTACATTTCTGCTTAAGAGTCTGGTTACAAAAAGTGTCTTTTAAGAGGACTACAGCATGTGTACCTGTTGTGGTCTGGACCCCCAGCAGAGTATTTGAAATCAGCAGGAATTCTGTTCTGCTGCAGATACTGATGCAGCCGAGACTTGGCATTGGCTAATGTCCAGTTTCCATGAAGATGAGCATTTAGATCCACATCTTCAGCCTATGATATAACAAATGTAACCAAAGATTTTACATATGTATATGAAAAAAATACATATCCACCATATTCAACCAGGTTTGCAGTTCCCTAAGGCCTCATGAGAAGATATCCCCTAGAACTTGAGAATTAATATTTTGTAATACTTAGGTTTAAGAGGTAAAACAAGATTTGTATTGTCCATAATGTTCGCTTTGTAAAATGTATTCTTTATACAAGGCTAAAAAGTTAAAATGTTTAAACCAAACGTTTTTGGCTGTTTGTATTATTGTATTATTGTATAAGATTTGTATTGCTCCAGAGAATCCCCTATTCAGCAATGAGAATCAAAGACAAACTTGATAAGTGTTTATTTTTGTTGTAGTTGTTGTTGTAGTTGTTGTTGTAGTTGTTGTTGTTGTTTTTTTTTTTTTTGGGGGGGG